TTGAGGTTAATATATGAAAACAAAGCCATGTACTATTCAGGGTGGAGGACAACGCCGATCCTCCTCTTCTCTGTAGGAGGGTATAGATGGCTTCGGCTCACCCAGTAGCTATTTCAGGTTGTCCAGCAGGGAAACTCAGAAAGTCCCTGCATTCATCATGACTGTACTGAAGCCCCCAAGAAACCCAGTGCGGCTCCTCACAGCCCTCAAGATGATTTCCGACCTTGCCACCTAAAGTGTGGCCCATGGACCAGCAGCATCAGCATGACCTGCAGGTTGTGAGAAATGCAGCACCCCAGACCCCCCACTCCCATCCACTTGTATCCAAAGTCTTCTCTATATTAGTGAGCGGAAGGGAGGACTGAGGACACAGTAGCCAAGCTCATCACTGTGACTTGTTAGGAGTTGTGCTGGAGCGCTCGTTCTCTACACCGCCTTCCCATAACTCCTACCTATCTCTTTTGGTTTTTAATTAGGACATTCACTTGCATTTAAAAATACCTGCAAGATCTCCCCCATCCCCCAAATCTCCACTGTCTACTTTTCGTTCTTCTTAGATGACGCGCTGCTCTTGCCTCTTTCTTCGCTTTCTCTTGCACCACAACACTTAGCAGTTATTATCCGTGCCACGGACCTTCAGGATACCTCTGTGCAAGGGCAGACCGAAGACCGAGCAATGGCATGGAAAACGGGACACCTCAGATGGACCGCGGGGCTGTCCTTGGTGACAGAGTACTGCTCTTTAACACGTGCTGTAGTAATGACATGATCGCCTTCTGTCCGGGGCCTTCACTTCGAAACAGAGCACTGAGGTCGGGGAGGAAAACCATATGAGGATGTTGAGCCCTGGCTGCTCTGGGTGGTAGCTGTGGCCTTTAGGAGTTTACTATCGTTTGCTTAAACAGCAGTGACTCGCCTCAAATTTCCCATAGATAGTGACCAACTCGTCTGAAATCCAAATAGAGTTGCTAATGGTCAGCCCTTTCCTCACCAGTTCCACTTATCCTTAAAAATGTATCACTCAGGAAATGCTTTTACAGAAAAATTGTGGCAAGACCCTTTGTTCCCGAGGAAAGACCTGCTCTAGCCCCAGAAGATGACTCCAGCGTCCACCTGGGACAGTGGAAACATTGGGCATGAAGACACTTAATAAAAGGACACTTTAAAAAGAAGGGGGCAGGAAAGATGGAAGGCAGGAGGTGCAGGCACTCAGACAGCTGCCCTCAACCCCACCCAGGATGGGCCACGGAATAGTGTTCCCATTACCCTGAATGCAGTGCTTTTTCTACCCCAGCATAGTCAGCACCCATTTCTGCATTGTTCTAAAACCCTTTCCCTATGCAAGAAGCAGTTCAAAGGGAAGGAAACCGTCTTAGGAGAGGAGGTACTGGGCACACATCTGACAGCTATGCTACCAGCAGGCAGGCCTCACCCAGCTCAGCACAGCACCCCCATGCTGTTTCAGAGAGAAGGAATGGGTGTGTGGATCTCTGTAACTTCTCACGGTGAGGGAAGTGGGTGTTGGATGGTGCAAGGAGCTAGCCAAGCGACTCTAATGACTGGCTTTGCCCCACAGTGCAGTTGCCAGAAGGGAGCAGCCGTGGGATGGCCAACATTTGTATTCGAAATGTTAGGAAATGTTCCTTCTGACCTTTCCCAGGGGCTAGAGGGCCACGGTTCCTGACCTGTGTCCTTTCTTTGCCTTCAGGTCCACATTGGCCAACTGTATTCAACTGACAAGCTGATCATTGAGAATCGAGACATGCCCAGGACCTAGCAAGCCGGGGACCAGCCACCAGCGGCGGCCAGGGACCACCTTCAGCATCCACTCTCTGTTCGAGATGGGGGCTCCCAAAACCAGCTTACAATAGCCTTTTGCGCTGCCTGCCCTGTGGGAGCTGATTAACCAAGTCACGTTTGCGTTCTGTTGCAGCCTTAGTGAAAAAGGATGGCTGTGACTCCTTGGTTCACGTGTTAGAATGGAGAGCTGGAGTTTGTTCAGAATAGTGCTGTGTGTTACCACGTCTCCCCTCCACCCCACTCCTGTCTTGTAGCTCATGACCATTGTGTATAGCATTTCTACATGTTGTTTCTTGGTCCTTGACAATAAAAAGAATTATCTCCCTGAGCCTTTCACACCAGATAAACCCCTCCCGATTAATGCATTTTCATTTTCTACTGACAGAAGGCCTGGAGAGGGCTGTTGGGGGCCCTCAGGGAGGGTTCGACCCGAGAAAAGAAGTGCCTTGGTGAAGGCAAGTCCAAGCCCCACTTGAGACTGGGGGCAGTGTGGAGTAGGGCAGGGCTGCGAGGGTACACAGTGCACCCTGTAACGTATACCTGAACCAGTACAACAACGGTGACGGGTGTGTAGGTACACGCCCAGAGATGGCGCACTGCAGATCAGCAACCTTAGCCCCACCTGGGAGCTTGCTGGAAATGCAGGCTCAAGCCCCTCCCAACACCTGGTAAAGGAGAGCCCCCAGCCTGATCCAGGCCCAGGACAACCCCCATACCCTGAAGCCGGGAACGTGCTGCGCAGCACTGGTGCCCACATCTGGCTGGTGGACAGAAGCACCTGGAGAGTTGGAGCGCTTTTTAAAAAGACGTCTCAGCACTTCGCTCTCTGCAGATTCTGACTCAGTAAGTGAGAGGTGAGGCACATTTTCCTCTCTTTCTAAAGCTCTGCCAGTGTTTTTCATGTTTAACCAGTTGGGGACCCCTGCTCTTTAAGCATATTACAGGTAATAAAGATATTATTTGTATGCTTTTATTCTTGGAAACAGATTCATTCCAAACATAGAAAGAATGTATTAAATAACTTGCTTGTCATCTGGGGAGTTTACGAGGGACCAGACCCGTCAAAGTGGTTTCTTGTTTCCCTTTGCATACAGTGCTGAGTGGATTTGGTATCTGTGTGTTAAGGTTTGGAACAGGCTCATATAAATAGCACCGGTCCTGGAATAGCTGCAGCACTGTAACCCCCTCATTTTAACTCTCACAGTCATGGGAGTGGGCACGCGCAGTCTGAGCCCACGTTCTTCTCACCCTCACGTGAGAACCCATGTCTTCTGCTGTCTTCCAGAGAGCATAGATTTGCTCCAGTGATGCATTCAAGTAGATGTAACATGTAGCCATTCTGTTTGGCAGTACAACCTTTGATTTCCGGATAAAGTCTTTTTTTTATTATTATTGA